TTAATTATCAGCTAATGTACCAAGATACAAAATAATGATTTGTTGCAACATTTTATTAGAAAGTTAAAGCCTTCGCCTAGCCAGTGTTGCTCAGTGGTTGAGCATCAGCCTATGAACCAGGAGGTCAGGGTTCGATTCCCAGTCAGGGGCACATGTCTGGGTTCAGGCTTCAGGCTTGATCCCCGTAGTGGGTGTGCAGGCGGCCACTGATTAATGATTCTCTCTCATCTTTAATGTTTCTCTCTCTCTCTCTCTCTCTCTCTCTCTCTCTCTCTCTCTCTCTCTCTCGCTCTCCCTCCCTTCCTCTCTCTAAAATCAATAAAAACATTAAAAAAAAGAAAATTAAAGCCTTCCCTGCTATTATGCCATGTGTCTGCTAGCTAAATTAGAAGGGGATAGATTTTAATAGAGAAAGATGAAGACATTTTAGGAAGCCTTTTAGATACTTTCATTTATGGATCATTTTAAACTTGTGCCCAACTATGTCATGTAAGGAATGACGTGCTTCCAGAGTAAAGGATTTCTGTGCCATTCCTACCTCAACTCACTCTTCACTTTTGAGCACTTCAGTCTGTCGGGCTTTCATCCATGTAAATAAACTTCCTTATACCCATTAATTAATTTGTTACCCTCTTCATAGAATTTCCTGCCATTTTCTTACCTTTAATGAGAAATACAAAGTGCATCCTACATGCAGAGTCTAGCCACAACAGCTAAAACCTTCCACAACAGCTAAAAACTTAGAGATTTTACATAGAAAAGTAGATTTCTTCTTTCGAAACTGATAAATATGATATTGTGGTCCTCTTTTTTTCATCCGGCATCATTTATTCACAGCTAAGTAGTAGCAGACTGCTTTAAATGGGTTGCAAACAGTAATTTGCCACAGTTCCCACCCAGCCCAGGTCATTAATTTCCCATCAAACCTGCGTGGGTATTTGAGAGGCCAGTGATTTCTGTGAAGCTTGTTGATCCCTTCAAACAGACTTTTTCAAACTTTTTTTGGCCAGTGACTACAGTAAGAAATGCATCATTTTCTATAACTTAGTGCATGCACACATATGTATAAATTTATGTAAATAAGCGAAAATTTCACAAAATATTATTTAACTTTACTATATGCAGTGATGTCAATATTTTCTGTTCTAGTTCCTTAAGTAATTCTGTGGTTACAAACCACTGAATTAATTTTACAGACTATCAAGGTATTTTAACTTGCACTTTATAAAAAACTAGAGGCCCAGTGCACGAATTTTGTGTAAGGGGGGGTGTCCCTCAGCCCAGTCTGCACCCTCTCCAATCTGGGACCCCTTGGGGGATGTCTGACTGCTGGTTTAGGCCCGATCCCTGTGAGAGCCGGCAGTCGGACATCCCTCTCACAATCCTGGACTGCTGGCTCCCAACCGCTCGCCTGCCTGCCTGCCTGATTGCCCCTAACCGCTTCTGCCTGCCAGCCTGATTGCCCCCAGCTGCCCTCCCCTGCCGGCCTGGTCGCCCCCAATTGCCCTCCCTTGCCGGCCCAGTCGCCCCTAACTGCCCTCCCCTGCTGACCTGGTCGCCCCCAATTGCCCTCCCCTGCTGGCCTGGCCTGGTTGCCCCTAACTGCCCTCCCCTGCAGGCCTGGTCACCCCCAACTGCCCTCCCCTACCGGCCTGGTCACCCCCAATTGCCCTCCCCTGTTGGCCTGCTCGCCCCTAACTTCCCTCCCCTGCTGGCCTGATTGCCCCCAACTGCCCTCCCCTGCTGGCCATCTTGTGACCACATGGGGGCGGCCATCTTGTGCAAGGGCATGATGGTCAATTTGCATATTAGCCTTTTATTCTATAGGATTACCCTAGCACAGCATTTCCTTATAGCCTCACCCTCCACAACCCTACCCTTGGATGTTAGCTGGTTCTCCACTGCTTCTTCCAAATTGTTGTCTTTCTGTCCTTTGAAGGTATCTTATTCTGTCCTTTGGAGAATCACCTCTACCCTTCTTCATAACAGTCATCTACATACCGTGAGATAATTCCCCCACAGTAAGAGTTTCTGTAGTCAAACTACTACCATCCCAAACAGGCAGGCTAGACCCTTTAAATTTGATGGCCAGTAATTTCCATAACTAAACACTGAACCTTTTCATTGCTTGGAACTGAAGAGCCCCTGAAGTTTTAAACCACAGTCTTTGTCCTTTTAGCTCTTTCTTTTCCATACTTTTAATTCCTTTTATAGATTACTGAGTCCTCTGTTTTCCAGCACTTTTCTTTCAAGTGTTTCTCTCTCTTCTTGTTTCATTTTCCAGTCTTTTCCATTCTAGGTCCTATAGTAAATGATTTTAATAATTCTTTTTTTTAATGTATTTTTATTGATGTCAGAGAGGAAAGGAGAGGGAAAGAGAGATAGAAACATCAATGATGAGAGAGAATCATTGATTGGCTGCCTCCTGCATGCCCCCCACTGGGGATCGAGCCTGCAACCTGGGCATATGCCCTGACCAGGAATCGAACCGGCGACCTCTTAGTTCCTGGGTCGACGCTCAACCGCTGAGCCACACCCGGCTGGGCTGATTTTAATAATTCTTGACTGTACATTCACTTTATACCTGCCCCTAGGCTTTCTCCCATAATGCATTTGCTAATCCATGACCTGGGTTACTCCAGCTGTCTATTTTATCTACATGTGAATCAGGGTTGTAGAAAGCCAGTGAAGGCAATCTCACTCCCATAGAGATTGTTACAACTACAGATTTAAAGTCTCAGCCCTCACTTAGGCCCTCACCTCTATTTGGGAATAATGTAGTGTTTCTGATCAGGTTGATCACCTTATATTACTTACAACAGTTATTCCAGATTTTCACCATTCTCCCTAATTTCTTACCCATTTTGTGAGCTCTTCATAGATGAATTAGAAGCTGTCACAATAAATTCTTATCTTTATAACCTCACACAATCATTTCTACTTTCAAACCCATCACAGTTACCCTTCCTCTAACTTCTGAGGATAAGATATGTCTTTTCTAGTATCTAAGGCTAATCTTTAGAACTCTTCTAGAACCAATCCCATTTCTTCTAGCATAGTCTTCCATCAATTTTTACATTACTTTTCTATATTATCAACCTTTCCCAATCAAACTCTCCCTGGCTTATTCTTAGCTTATAAAACATGCTGAAATGCAGTCTGTTTTTAAATTTTCAAAAAATACATTTATTTGGTGAAAATTAGGTCTATCTCTAACCCTCATTCCATATCACTTTACAACCAAGCTTAAAAGAATGATCTTTAGCCCTGGCTGGGTGGCTCAGTTGATTGAACATTGCCCCATGCACCAAAAAGTTGCAGGTTTGATTCCCTGTCAGAGCACATGCCTGGGTTAGGAAGCTGATCAGTGTTTCTCTCTCCCTCTCCCTTCCTCTCTCTCTAAAATCAATAAAAACATTTTTTTTAAAAAAAAAGAATAGTCTTTAATAACCATCTGCTTCCTTTTCTGTTATTCCTTGTTTAAGATTATTCTCAAGTATCACCTCCTCCATATTTAACCCTCCTCTACCACACCCTCAATACACACATATCTGTATCACATTGTAATTTTGTTAGACTTTGGGTTCTTTGGTAAAAATTTTATCTAATTTATCTTTGAATCCCAAACACCTAGTAAAGTACCATCAAGCACATAGTAGGAAATGTATAAATAATGAATGAGAGAAGTTGCAAGACTAGGCATATGAAAAAAGAGGGATCCCTAACCGGTTTGGCTCAGTGGATAGAAGGAAGGAAATAATAAAGATCAGAGCAGAAATAAAGAACATAGAGACTAAAAAAGCAATATAAAAAGTCAATGAAGCCCTAACCGGTTTGGCTTAGTGGATAGAGCGTCGGCCTGCGGACTGACGAGTCCCAGGTTCGATTCCAGTCAAGGGCATGTACCTTGGTTGCGGGCACATCCCCAGTAGGGGGTGTGCAAGACATAGCTGATCGATGTTTCTCTCTCATCGATGTTCCTAACTCTCTATCCCTCTCCCTTCCTCTCTGTAAAAAATCAATAAAAAATATTTTTCAAAAAAAGAAAAAGAAAGAAAAAAGAGGGAGCATTTTGAGATGTTGCTTCTTGGCATGTCACCAGTTTGGTTTAAATAAACTCAAATAAATAAATATTTTTAAAAAAGAAAAGTAAGCCCTAACCGGTTTGGCTCAGTAGATAGAGCGTCGGCCTGCAAACTGAAAGGTCCCAGGTTCGATTCCTGTCAAGGGCATGTACCTTGGTTGCGGGCACATCCCCAGTAGGAGGTGTGCAGAAGGCAGCTGATCAATGCTTCTCTCTCATTGATGTTTCTAACTTTCTATCCCTCTCCCTTCCTCTCTGTAAAAAAGTCAATAAAATATATTTTTTTAAAAAAAAGAAAAGTAAGATATATTAAACACATTTTAGCAGATTTTCAGTAATAGGTAATTATTTTGACATTTTTATAAGGGTGATGAAGTATTCAGAGGTGATATTTTCTTCTGAAATACATTTCAGAAATTTATCTTTTTATTATAAACTAGAGGCCCGATGCACGAAATTCATGCAAGGGGCTCAGCTCTTGCAGCCCTAGCTGCCTCAGCCGGCCCTCACAGCCCCCAGCTTCGTCCAGAAGGTCCTCTGGAATGTCATCCAGATGGTCATTCTGCTGTTTGGTCTAATTAGCATATTAGCTCTTTATTATATAGAATACATTATTTATTTTAAATTCTATTTATAGCTTTTTTATTAAGATTTTCTTTAATCCTTTTTTTCTTTCTTAAATTTTATTGATTTTTAGAGAAAGGAAGGTTGAGAAAGAGAGAAACATTGATGTGAGAGAGAAACATTAATTCGTTGCCTCCTGCATGCGCCTTGACCAGGGATTGAACCTGCCATCTTTTGGTGCGATGCTCCAACCGGCTCTTGATATCAAAGATATAAAACAAGAAAATTGGTACTTTCATTCCTATTATAATTTTAAATAGATTAACTCATTTTTTATGTATACCTATAACAGAATCATTTAGTGCACCCACATTTTCATATGGACCTGATGGAAATGGTTTCTCTCTTGGATACAGTAAAAATTGGAGACAAGTCTTTGGCGATGAAAGGAAATACTGGCTACTTCCAATATTTTCAAGGTAATTTATAAAATGCACGTCTCAGAAATTATGAAAATTACAGTTAAATGTCTTAAGTTTCAGAGACTACAATATATAATTCTTAGCCTTAAGAATGAAAACCCAGAATAACTTGATTCTATAAAGTATTTTCTTTCTTTTTTTTTATTAGGGTAAAGGAGAGTTTGGGCATATATTTGAATGGAATATTGAAAAAGATGATTCATAAAAAATAAGAATTTCAAAATGAAAATAAGTTGAAATAGAGAAAGTATATAAATAATGAATGAGCGAAGTTGCAAGAGTAAGAATATTAAAAAAGAGGAAGCATTTTGAGATCTTGCTTCCTGGCATGTCACCAGTTTGGTTTAAATAAACTCTTATTAAATAAGTAAACAAATAAGTAAATAAATATTTTTTAAAAGTAAGGTATATTAAACACATTTTAGTAGATTTTCAGTAATATTAGATAATTATTTTGACATTTTTATAAGGGTGATGAAATATTCAGAGGTGATATTTTTAGCCATATCTTCAAAAATTCTATCACAGATTATATATTCTGTTTTATCTTAAATCATAGAAGATCTAACACATAATGTAATTTTTACTCAAATGTAAATGGGAATATATGTTTGAGATGTTATATAGTTTCCTTTTCTTCCAAATTCATAGCCATCCTAGGCTATCTATATACAAAAGTCATTATAGAAGAGGAAAAAATATTTGATATTCAACTGATATATTTGTGAGTGTTGTAGGTTTTTATTTTCCTTAACTGTATTGCCTATTTTTGTGTGAAAATGACTTATTTTGCCTTTGTTTTTGAAAAACATTTTTGCTTGGCATAGAATTCTACATTTTGCTTCATTGCCTTCTGGCTTGTGGTTTTTCTGATGAGAAATTTGCAGTCACTATTCTTTTTTTTAATGAATATGTAATGTGTCTTTTTTTTCCTCCAGCTGCTTTTAAGATTTTCTATTTGTAAATAGTTTCTTGAAATTGGGTTTTGTTGTCCCTTGGTATAATTTTCTTTGTGTTCTTAGGCTTAGGATTGATTGAACTTCCCAGTTCTATGATTTTATAACTTTTATCAGATTTGGAAATATTTCAACTATTTTTTCTTCAACTATTTCTTCTGACATCCTCTTCTCCTCGTTACTGCAGGGACTCCAATTACATTTACCCACTCGAAGAAGTTCTAACCACAGCTTATTGATGCACTGTACATTTTTTTTGTGTAGTCTTTTTTCTTTGTGTCATTGAGTAAATCTTATTGCTATATTTTCAAGAGCCAATCTCTTCTGTGTACTTTATATTTTGTTTTCTGTATTGCAAGGTTTTTCCACTGTAGTTGGAACAGACTTTTTTTTTAAGGTTATTTTTTCTAAACAGATATTTCAATATTAAGGTGTTTTGTTTTTCTCTTTTCTTTAAAAATATGGCTCCATGGCCCTGGTTGGTTCAGTTGGTTAGAGCATTGTCCCGATAAACCAATTTTGTGGGTTTGATCCCCAGTCAGGGCACATACAAGAGTCAACCAATGGCCCTAACCAGTTTGGCTCAGTGGATAGAACATTGGCCATGGACTAAAGAGTCCTGGGTTCGATTCAGGTCAAGGACACACATTTTGGTTGTAAGCTTGATTCCTGGCCCTGGTTGGGCATGTGTGGGAGGCAAACAATTGATGTGTCTCTCACATAGATGTTTCTCTCTTGGTATCTCTCCCCCTCCCTTCCACTCCCCCCCCCAAAAAATCAATGGAAAAAATATTCTCAGGTAGAGGATTAACCAAAAAAAAGAAGAAGAAAAAGAATCACCAATGAATACATAAATAAGTGAAACAACCGATCAATGTTTCTCTCTCTCTCTGTGTCTCAAAAAATTTTTTTTAATGTTGTTCTATTATCTTCTGGCGTAGGAACAAAAATATGAGCCCCACTCTTATCTTTATTGCAGTGTTTATAAATTTCCCTCTGGCTACTTTGAAGATTTTATCTTTATCACTGGTTTTAGGCAGTTTGATGATAATGTTTGGTGGGATGGTTTTCTTTGTGTTTATTCTCTCTAGAATTCATTAGGCTTTTTAAATCTGACTTTATAGTATTCATCATATTTGAATAATTTTCATCATATGTCTTCAGTTGTTTTTGCTGCCTGCTCTACCTCTTCCCATACCCTCCCCCCACTACCTTTTCAGATACTGGTACTTGATAAATATACCTACGTTAAATTGTTTGTGACTCACAGGCCATTGCTCTCCTGCCTCTCTCTTTCCCTCCCCTATCTTTTTTCTTTGCTTTAGATTGAATAGTTCCTATTGCTATATTTGTAAGTTCATGATCTTCTGTAATGTTTACTCAACTGTTAAGCTAATCCAGTGAATTTTTCATTTCAGATATTTTTCAGCTCTAGAAGTTCAATTTGGTTCTTTTTATATCTTACATTTTCATTCCTCACTTTCCCTGTAGTTTAAAGTCTTTGTTTCAATTTCTTTTTTATTGACTTTTTTCTTGTGTATATATTTACTTGCTACTTTTCACGCTAGTAATTTTTTATTGGATGAGTGACATTTTGAATTCTGAGTGTTTAAATTTTGTCTCCCTTTAAAGAGGCAGACAGTTTTTTTTCTTTTTCTTTTTGTAGGGAGTTATCATCAATACAGTTTCTTGTGCTTCAGCTTCTGCATCTCTCCCTCTTCTTCAGCTCTATCTGATAGATTTAAGCTGCCTTAACTTTAGAAATTCCTATCTCTGTCACCTCAGATCAGTGAGACTACCTTGCTCTGTGTCCCCTCCTGGCCTGGCAAAGGCTGGAACTCACTCGGTCAGTTCTCTTCTTTCACAAAGCACAGTTCTATGATGTTTTGAAAACAGTATTGTATATACTATTCAGTTTTCTGGTTGTTTAAGACTGAAAGATCAGATTTTGTAGTTAATTCATCTTGGATGGAAGTGAAAGTTCTTGTTATACACAATTTTGATGTTTTTAAAATGTGAAAGTAAGCATATCTGCATTTTTTAGATTGTAAACGTTTTGAGGGCAGAGATTTCCTTCTCATTAACTGCCAGATCCTTAGCACTTAAAATAGTACCTGGAATATCATAGGCATTCAATAAATAAAGTATAGTTGGCATACAATATTATGGAAGATCCTCTTTTTAAATCTATGTAAATTATAAAAGAAAAAGGCTGCATTTTTTTCAATGGAGGTTAATCACCCTCTTAATTAGAAATACTAGGAAATTTTCTTTGAAATGACAAGTTATTTCCTTATACCAGGTCTCTGAAAAATGGGAGTTAAACTTGACAACGTTGATTTAACTTAATATGATTTAAAATATTACTGATATTTTTTATTATGCAGTTTGGGTGATGGTTGCAGTTTTCCAACTCGCCTTGTGGGAATGGATCCAGAACAAGCTTCTGTTACAAACCGAAATGAATATGCCAGAAGGTGTGCTTCTTGTCATTATGTTTTTCAGTATTCATTGTAAAACAAAATATATATATGTGTGTGTGATACAAACATATCTTATAAATACAGCAGTAATTTAGTAAGCCAGCATACATAGCAAAAGAGAACATCTAAATAATTTTTAATATATTTTAAAATATTTTTTTAATCCTGAACTTATTATTGATTTTAGAGAGAGAAGAAAGGAAAGTGAGAGAGAGAGAAAAACTGTGTGAAAGAGAAACATCGATTGGTTGCCTGGTGTGCACACCCCAACAGGGGATCGAACCCAAAACCTGAGTATGGGCCCTGACTGGGAATCAAACCCATGACCATTCGATGTACAGGATGACACCACAACCAACTGAGCCACACTGACCAGGGCTAAATTTTAACTTAGGGTTAATAATATATATCTCCTCATATATTATATTGTTATATAATATATATGCTTAGGATAACCATACTTTTTATCATCCAAACCAGAATACTTTTCAAAGTAAGAAAGGGAATGCTTGCTCTTACTAGTTGAACCAGAATAATCACATAAAACGAAATGTCTGGGCAAACTAGGAAGCAAGGCTGCCCCTAAATGTGCTGCATTTTCCTAGAAACTTATACATTCTTTTGAGATTTGATTAAATTGGTGTATGTAAGTTTTTTTCTTCAAAGAAATTAGTCATTTCTCTATTCACCATTTTATTTTTATAAACAGATTTTAACTGTAGTGTGAAAATGAGATTGAGAATTCAAAAAATACAAATATAAAATTTCATTCATTTATTTATAGGATATTTTCTCAGTATTTGTATGGCAAGCAAACTGATCCATACATTCAGAGTAATTCATTTGAAATGAAATTTCAAAGAAGATAAAGATACTTCTGGTACTGACCAGGTAGCTCAGTTTAGAGCATCATCATGATAGCCAAGGTTGTGGGTTTGATCTCTGGTCTGGGCACATACAAAAAGCAACCAATGAATGCATAAATAAGTGGAACAAATCGATATTTCTCCTTCTCTTTCCAAAATCAATTTTAAAAAGAGAGAGAGGGATACTCTGTCAAAGCGAAATAGTTGGAACTTACTACAGAAATTAATTGTGGGGGAGAAGAGATTATTAATTACAAGTTTGCATATAATATCAAAAGCATGTAGGCCTTAGAACTTTAGGCCTTAGCTAAGACCTTAGACCTCCAACATTTATTATGGGTCTAAACAAATCACTTAAACTGTCAGAGCCTCAGTTTCCAGCTATATACCTACCTCCAGTTTTTGCAAAGGTTGAAATAATGTATATACAGCACCTAGCACAGATATCTGGCCCATAGTAGGTATACAACATATTAGTTCCCTTTTCCTTCTTCTTTCATTCTCCGTTCCCTCTCTTCCTAATCTGTTAGCTAGAAAAATAAGTCTACACTAAATCACTTAATCATTTTTTCCCCTTAGATCTAAACTGCAGAGATAAAAAGCAGAAAACTTGAAAGATGACAGGTAATTTTTTTGTCCTGGCCACACAGACCTATCCTAATGCTACCTTATGGCTCTTGATTAACATATGTTAAAAATGTTTCAGGCTGGCCTCTGAAGCTTTTTTCTTTTGCCTAATTGTTTTCATTGGCAGTTGGAGTACAGATTCTTGGATCTAGAGCAGGGGTGGGCAAACTTTTTGACTCGAGGGCCACAATGGGTTCTTAAACTGGACCAGAGGGCCGGAACAAAAGCATGGATGGAGTGTTTGTGTGAACTAATATAAATTCAAAGTAAACATCATTACATAAAAGGGTACGGTCTTTTTTTTTTTTAGTTTTATTCATTTCAAACGGGCCGGATCCGGCCCGCGGGCCGTAGTTTGCCCACGGCTGATCTAGAGAATCATTTAATGAGGGGGTGGGCATATTTTTCTTTTGAAAATTGAGTTGTTTTTTTCAGAGTGCTGAGATCTTATGATTTGGCCTCATGTTTAGGAGAAGGAATACTAATTTTCTGCTTATTAATATTTTTTTAATTTTTATTGATTTCAGAGGGGAAGAGGGGGAGAGAGATAGAAATGTCAATGATGAGGAAGAATCATTGATCAGCTGCCTCTTGTATGCCCCCTCGCCCCCCACCGGAGACCGAGTCCTCTACTTGGGCACATGCTCTGACCAGGAATTGAACTGTGACCTCCTGGTTCATAGGTCGATGCGCAGCCACTCAGTCACACTAGCCAGGCTAATTTAGTGTTCTTAATTGAGCATCAAACTATTTACTAAATTGTTTGCTCTTCTTTTCAGTATTGGCTCAAATCAACCCTTTCCTATCAAACCACTTAGTGAATCAAAAAACCGATTGCTGGATAGTGAATCTCAATGGACAGAGAATGGATCTGAAGAAGGTACTGTCAGATCAGGTAATACTTGTCATCTGAAAACATCACTTCATCTGGTTAAAATAAATTCACCAGGTTGAATTACTGTATAAAAATCGTAAAATACTAAAATATGTGAAACTTTTAAATAAAACATCTCACACACACACACACACACACACACACGGGGTGTTAGTGTTTATTGGTAGATTTTATGGAGAAGGGGGTTCAGTGAGGAAGTGTAGTGGCTGCTGCTGTGTCTTGTTCTGTTCACAGATAGGTTGTTGTTGGTTTTTTGTTACCCAGCCATGTATTTCTTTAACTCAGGCATAGAAAGTTCATTTGGCATAATTCTGAATAAATCTTAAACAAGGTGAGTTTTGGTCAAGATGGCAGCATAGGTAAATGCGGTACTCAGAATCTCTCACAACCACATCAAAATTACAATTAAAATACAAAACAACCATCATTCAGAGCGCCTGAAATCTAGCTTAACAGAAGTCCTGCAACTAGGGATATATTAGAAGAAGCCACATCAAGACTGGTAGGAAAGGTGGGGTTGGGGAATGGGCTGGTCGGCTGGTCCCATACTCAAGGATGGCGGTTAAAAGTTGGAAGAGATATCTCAGCTGCAGAGGTCCCCCCTAAGGAGTGATGGTCCCAGTCCCACATCAGAACCCCCAGCCCGGAGTCCCAGTGCCAGGAGGAGCAGTCCCCATAACTTCTCTATCTGTTAAAACCAGTGGGAATTGTGGCTTAGTGAGGCTTCCTGGTGTCCAGGTGTTCCTCTTAAAGGACTTAGTCAGACTCACTTTCTCTGAGCCCCAGTGCTGGAGCAGCAACTCGAAAGATGCCATATGGGGACATACAGGGAGGGACTGAATTGTCTGACTGCAGGGTAAGTTTTGGAGGTGCAACTTTCTCCCAGATAGAAGTGCCAGCAGAGGTCATTGTTCCTTTTCTGAGCCCTTCCCCCCTCAAAATCCCCAGGTGGACACCATATCTGAATCCCATCAACACTGGCTAACACTGTTGGCCTCACCCTGGTGATTTGCTGAGACCCCCGACTCCACCTTCCCATTTGCAGGCCCACCCAAGCCCTTTCCAGTGGCTTTTCCATATTCTGGCTTATGCTTTGGACATTTCTAAAATCTCTCAAACGAGCAGCATCTGGCCTCTGTTTACCTCATACTCCTTGTTAAGTAGCTCCAGGCCTGATACTAGTGGCAGCTAGCCTTGGTTTGCAGTTTGGCCTCTCCTCTAGACACCTCCAAGTAAGTACAACTAGCAGTCAACTACAGATTGTTCTGTAGCTCATGCTGGGTGGCCCTTGGCAGGGCACAGGCGGTGGCTGACCTTGCACCTCTTGGGAGGCCCCAGAACTAGTGCACTCAGTGGACAGCACCAGACCACCCCGGATTTCAACCCAACCACCTCTACAAGCGACACACTCAAGGGGTAGAGGTCACAGGCACCAAAGCCCCACTAAAGCAAGTCCTGCTCTACAGGATCGGCCCCTGCACAGCAGCTTCTCCATTGTAGTGAAAGCCTGTCCTCTCAGCTGGTCTTTGCAGCTGATCAGCCTGGGGGTCAGTCCCTACCAGTGATTTGCCAAAAACAATCAAGACTCAATTACAACAGGACAGTGCACAGAGTGCACTTGGAGTGCCCAGATCAAGTGACGGGAGGCTGCTCCACTGGGCCCTGTAGGACACCTACTACATGAGGCCACTCTACCAAGTCCAGAGATATAGCAGCTCTACCAAAAACATAGAAAGAAACACCGGGCAGCAGCCAAAATGAGGAGACAAAGAAACATGTCCCAAATGAAAGAACAGGACAAATCTCCAGAAAAAGAACTAAATGAAATGAAGGCAGTCTACCAGATAGAGTTCAAAACAATGATTATAAGTGTGCTCAAGGAACTTAGCAAGAACTTCAGTAGCATGAAAAGGGACATGGAAATTATAAAAAAAGAACCAGTAAGAAATGAAGAATACAATAATTGAAGTGAAGAAAAAGATTACAGGGAATCAACAGTAGAGTAGATGAAGCAGAGGATCAAATCAGCAATTTGGAAGATAAGGAAGCAGAAAATATGCATTTAGAATTGCAAAAAGGAAGAAGAACCCCAAAAGAAGATAGTGTAAGGACCCTCTGGGACAACTTCAAGCATACCAACAGTTCATCATGGTGGTGCCAGAAGGAGAAGAGAGAGCAAGGAATTAAAAATTTGTTTGAAAAAATAATGATGGAAAACTTTCCTAACCTGGTGAAGGAAATAGACATACAAGTCCAGGAAGCGCAAAGAGTCCCAAACAAGATAAACCCAAAGAGGCCCACACAAAGACATTATAATTAAAATGCCAAAGATTAAAGACAAAGAATTCTAAAAGCAGCAAGAGACAAGCTGTTAGTTATCTACAAGGGAACTCCCTTATTACTGTCATCTGATTTCTCAACAGAAACTTTGCAGGCCAGAAGAGATTGGCACAAAATATTCAAAGTGATGAAAAGCAAGGACCTACAACCAAGATTACTCGATCCAGCAAAGCTGTCATTTAGAATAGAACAGATAAAGAACTTCTCAGACAAGAACAATCTAAAGGAGTTCATTACCACCAAAGCAGTATTACAAGAAACATTAAAGGGTCTTCTTTAAGAAGAAGAAGGAAAAAAAAAAAACATCAAAAATATGAATAATAAAATGGCAGTAAATGCATATCTGTCGACAATTACTTTAAAATGCAAATGGGCCCTAGCCAGTTTGGTTCAGTGGCTAGAGTGTTGGCCTGTGGGCTCAAGGGTCCTGGGTTCAATTCTGGTCAAGGGCACATGCCCGGGTTGTGGGCTTGATCCCCAGGAGGGGGTGTGCAGGAGGTAGCCAATCAATGATTCTCTCTCATCACTGATGTTTCTATCTCTCCCTCTCCCTTCCTCTCTGAAATCAATAAAAATATATTTTTTTAAAAATGCAAATGGAATAGCCCAGCCCGAGTGGCTCAGTGGTTGAACATTGACCTATGAACCAGAAGGTCATGGTTCAATTCTCAGTCAAGGCACATGCCCAGTTTGTAGGCTCAATACCTGATAAGGGGTGGGGAGCGGGGGGCAGGAGGCAGCAGATCAATGATTCTCTCTCTGATCTTTGATGTTTCTATTTCTCTCACTTCCTCCCAAAAATCAATAAATAAATGTATTTTAAAAATACAACGGGTTAAATGCTCCAATCAAAAGATATTCAGTACCTGAAATGGATAATAAAATAAGACCCTTACTTATGCTGTCTGCAAGAGACTCACTTCAGATCATAAGGCACACACAGTCTGAAAGTAAAGGTATGAAAAAAGATATTTCATGACAATGGAAACAAAACAAAATAAAGAAGCTGTGGGCCCTAGCCGGTTTGGCTCAGTGGATAGAGTGTTGGCCTGCGGACTGAAAGGTCCCAGGTTCGATTCCTGTCAGGGTCACATGCCCGGGTTGCAGGCTCGATCCCCAGTAGGGGGTGTGCAGGGGGCAGCTGATCAATGATTCTCTCTGATCATTGATGTTTCTCTCTCTCTCTCTCCCTTCCTTTCTGAAGTCAATAAAAACATATTTAAAAATAAATAAATAATTTAAAAAGCATAAAACTAGACTTTCAGCTCTTAGCACTGCTTCTGGGTTCTACAAGAAGACAAATGGTTGGCACCATATACCTATTTAGTGCTTATATAAGAGTTGCTTTTACTTTAATCATCAATTTTGCTGTTTAGCCAGCAACTCAATTCATTTTTTTATCGGATCATATATAATTACTAGAGGCCCGGTGCACAAAAATTTGTGCACTCGGGGGTGGGGGTGGGGAGGGGGGTCCCCCAGCCCGGCCTGTGCCCTCTCGCAGTCTGGGACCCCTCGGGAGATAACGACCT